GCGCCTTGCTTTGAAGAGGGCAGCAAGGGACTGGCTTCATCCTGTTGGTCTGGATTGTCAAGTTGGTCCTCATCCAGCATATACTTGGCAAGCATCTCAGCAAGCTTGGTGCACTTTGCGTTGATTGCAAGCTTGGTGATGCTGGATGGTGATGACAGGTGCGCTTCACAAATTGCACGCTTTTTGGTGGCTTGACTCTACAAACATGACAAGCCACAAATTGTGAGCATTTGCACCAACTAGGTTGCAAGGCAGCTTCAACTTACCCATACCCAGCCTGTCAAGCACTCAATACAGAGGACATCATTGCCATTGAAGGTGTCACGTGGAGGCAAGCCAAGGTTGTAAGTCTTGCCAATGGCGCAGAGCGCAGAGATCCGCCAAAAGAGGAGAAAGGTGAGCAACAGCCCTTCAACTGCACAGGTTTGGCCACCAAGTTCTACCACCAAGCCACAAGCGCAAAGCGACTCACCATGGCATCAACCTGAGCCTTTTCAAGCAGATTGTAAACTGCACTGTGCCTTTGCAAGATGTGGCCCATGGCCTTTGACATGTTTTGGAAGTGTCCTTGACAGTGCAGGCGGTCAATTTGGGGGTAGTTCTGAAAGTTTTTTTGCAAGATCTCACAGGATTTGTTGCCTTGGTCGATGATTACCTGATTGATGATATGGCCTTTATTGAGTTGCGAAGCCAGCGGATGTGAAGGAGTGTACGACATGGTGTTGAGAGGTGTGTAGAGAGAACCTTTTGGTTTGTGATAAGGGTTGAGAGAAGATGAGCTTCACTGCCTCTCTTTATAGGCCTCTGCGCTCTTTTTGGCCTCACCCAAACAATTGCGCAGCACCTACCAGCGCAGTCGAGGCGTTGCTACCCATGCAGCGCACCTTTTGTCCAAGTGAAAAATTTGTTTGTAGACAACAAGCAAATCAGTGGGGCTTGCTTGAAGAATGGCATGGTGCAGCGAGTTTGCCAAATTGGTGCAAAAGCGCATTTTCCAGCGCCCGCAGGCTTTCTGTTCTGTCCCCAACAAAGGTGAGCCATTATGCCCTCTTCCAAGTGGTTACAACCATTGTTGCTAGTCGGTATCCTACCGGCCCAATAATTTTCCTGTTGCCAAATAAGTATTCATAATTGGTGCATTCACAACTGTAGTCTGAGATGAGTGCTTCCTGGTGCTGCAAAGATACTTGGTGTCCTAGCTGCCCAATGTTTATCCTGTAGCCAAGTAAGTGTTCATGACTGGTGCAGCAAACTTAAGTCCTTCCTGGCGTAGCAGCTTGCTGCTCTGGTTGCCCCAAAAGTGGGCTGTTCCACAAGCATGCTGAGCATTGAGGCCGGAATGAGTACCTTATTGCTCATACAAGTTTCACTTGCCTCGGAACTCCTTGCGCCTTCTGGTCAAAGGGACATCCAACCTGGCGCAACCCAGACAAGCTCCAAAGAAGAGACTTTTGACTTTTGCTGCTGGCAAGCTTGAGATGCAACCAGCTTGTCTGAGTCAGAGGGCACTTGGGGAGCAATGACATGTGCAGATGAGTTCGAGACCCACCATGCACCCTCAGCTTGGATTGGAACGTTGTCGGAGCTCCCTTGCAGAGAGCGAGCCC